AATGTGTTCAAAGTACTGTATACAGTTGAAACACTGAGTGAGATTTGAACCTAAAATTCCTTAAGACATTACGATAAGTTTTACCACCCAACCACCCTGACTCGCTGGACTAGGAATTAAAAACTTTTTTTCAGGAAACATTCTGTATACCTGTTAATATGAACTCTGCATATATAAACTGAAAAAGGCAAACTCTACTTCATCTGCTTTAATGTCTACCAAGGCAAAATAGATACTTAACTATTTATTTTTAAAATAACTTTGCAGTTGCACTTCAATTCAATAGTTTGTTCATTTATTTATAATAGTGCTGGTAAGTAGGTCACTAACCAGTTCTACGGCTCAATAAAAACCTCCATGAGCCATAGAACTGTTTATTGACCTAATTACCAGCCCTATTAAAAAGGGAAACAAAAAAAAACATTTATTTTTTTATTTACAGTTTTCCCTTAGACATCAACATTTGCACCTTAAAAGCAGCCACAAAAGGTGACGCCATTGTACTCACCAAACTCCTGTCCCTCCACCCTCGCATGAGCTACGGGGATGAGCACAACAGACGAGCCATACACTACGCGGCCAACAACGGCCACCTGGAGTGTGTTCGCTTGCTGCTGAAAGCTGGGGCCATCAGTAACTGCGCTGACCACTTTGGCCGAACTCCCTTACATATGGCGTGTGCCATGGGGTTTACAGAAATCGTCAGGTAGGCATTATAACCTTGTGTGTTGTGTACAGAATATGATAAGGATTCTCTTCCCCTTGGAAGATAGTGGATACACACAGAGAAGTGAAGTCTTTGAGGTGCATATCATGGGTTTTAGAAATAAGCTTTTTAGAACTTTTAAAATTCTAGACTTCAGTAAAACAGTGTTTTAAAAATAAGCTTTTTAAAACTTTTTTAAAGAATAGATTTGTAAAACAGTTTTTTCTAAATTAATTTGTTTACACTTGTTTTACCAATGAACTTGTAAAACAGAGTTTTATAAATCAGCTCTTTTACACTTTTTTTTAGACTAGACTTGTAAATCAGTATTTCCAAAACAAATATTTTTATACTCTTGTCAATATTCTTCTTGTAAAACAGTGCTTCAAAACTGAGCTATTTTACACTTTTTTTTAAAAGAACAGCCTTGTAAAGCAAATTTTTTTCCTGAATAAATTTTCTACACTTGGTTTCCCAAAGCTACTTGTAAAACAGTGTTTCAAAAATCAGCTTTTTAAAGCTTTTTATTGTAGACTTGTAAAACAGTGTTTGTAAAAAATAGACTTGTAAAACAGTTTTTCCTAAATTAAATGTTTATACTTGTTTTATCAGGCTAATTGTAAAACAGTTTCATAAACCATATCTTTTACACTTTATTTAAATGAAAAGATTTGTAAATAAGTATTTCCTAAATAAATATTTTTATACTCTGGTGTGTCAGGCTACTTGTAAAACAGTGTTTCAAAACTGAGCTTTTTATTTTTTTCACTTTTCCTGAAAATCAGACAATTTTTCCTAAATAAAATTTGTTCGCTTATTCTCTCAGGCTGCTTGTAAAACAGTGTGGTCAAATCAACTCTTGCCGCACGGAGTCTGGTGAGAATGCGGTGCATGCCACAGCGGCTGCGGGACATGTAGAGATCATGGAGTTCCTTATAGAGCATGGCGGGGACATCAATGCCACTACCAGCAAGCTAAAAGGTGGGGAAACGCCGCTTCATAAAGCCATTAGCACGGATAAACCAGAAATGGTGAGAACATTTTTTTTTCTATCTTTTTCATTTTTAATTTAATATTGGAAGGGATTTCCCCCTGATACAATAGGCTTGAAAAGTTTATATAATCATTCTGTTTTTAAAAAAACCTTTTTAAAAATATGGCAAGCGATAAAATTATAGTTACATTTTAAATACTTATAGCTGTTTGGGAATCATCGATTACACTGATTTTCATATTTTTGTATTGAATATAAGCCGTTGAAAAGTCCTTTAGAATTATTTTATCAATTAAATTATTTTTAAAAACCGCCCTAAACCCCTCCTTGAAGTCAACCGGAATAGCCAGGGAAAGTAAAACAATGAAAGCTCAAATTGTTTTCCATGATAAAAATACACAATAGTTATCTATGGTGTATAGCGTAGTATTGTATTTATGTTAAAAAATATAACACCCTCAATAATCACAACACACTGGCTCTACTAATCCAAATTAGAAATAAATGTGTTTGCTAAGATACTATTACATTACTAGTAGTTCTTTGTTTGACTATTTCTAGCCTTAATAAAACTGGAAGTCATTTTGTACTTATTTCATAAATTTAAATAAATATGCAACCTTGGTTAAAAAATATGCTTTCTGGCAACACAAATTTGGAACCAGCTTTTCAAGCTTATTAAAGATTATTTGTTAACACCATATGGACCATTGGCTCCAGTGGCGGAACTAGAAAAAATGGGCCACCCCGCAAAAAAAAATTTTGGGCCCCCCCCCATATATATATATATATATATATATATATACACAATACGAACATAGGATACTCATTTCTGGCCTGATCGGGTTTTGAAAAAAAAAATTCAATTAAATCTAATCACAACAACATGTCATGTGTATCAGTGGCGGAACTAGGAAAAATAACCTTCTGATTTAGGGGAGGGGGGATTAACAAAAAGCCAGACCCTCACACACCCCCACCTCAATGACTATTAATAATGTTCAATTAATTCTAAACGTTCTAATAAATTTCTAAATAATTATATAAAAAATAATCTTACCTGCCCTGTTTTGTGAATTAGATGTGCCTAATACTATGAAAGTAAATTAATATGTGTTGACTAGATCTAGTGCTGTCTAGTGTCTGACAAAATGTGCTGAAGTGGTGAATCGTACGGTTAGGAAGTAGTTCATAAACGATACATTTATCTCCTCGATACTTGTGAGGTTGAGAAAGAGGGATGGGATAGGGGTCGGCTCGGGAAAAAAAAACTTGAAAGAGACAACAAAACGCCTTGATCTATGTACGTCAGCATCGCCCATTGTAAAACTTACTCAGGGGAGATAATTTGAAGTATAGGCCTTAAAAGTTTACTATATTTCTTGTAAAATCAAAAACAAGTAAACGTATATAAAACTGAAGTTTCTAGTATTATATTATTTTTTAAAATTATTTGTACGATACAAGATAGTACCGGATACAAATTCAACCACTATCACAAACACATATTAACATTGAAAAATGTACAATGGATTTCGGGTCCCTTATCAATGCCGCAAATAATAACCGCGCATCATGAAAGCCCACTTCATATGTAGCGGCTTTTCGTGCTATGGACTTTGTTGTTTTTTTAAAAAGAATTTTGCCGGCGACAGCGTGTGTTTGATTGTAGGGAAATAGAACTCGGCCTTGACGATGGTTAAAAAATACAACTATAAATAACTGTTTTAAATATGTAAAAAAATTGTCGACAATTTTTTAACCCCCTTTTTGGTCCCCATCCCCTGCCCCATCCGCCACAGTACACTTTGGAGGATCGGTCAAACAGTTACGTGTCCTCTTTTTAGCTATCAAAGGGAGGGGGGGGGGGGGGCAACGAGTCAAAGAAGTCATTCAAAATTTGAAGAGTTGCCTATATTTTACACTGTAGTTTGTGTAATGGATTTTATCTTTTGTGGAAGAGCGTGGTATAGTGACTGTAGAATAAAAATAATCGTACCGCAGCTACAGTGTTTTTCTTTTACAAACCAAATATTAAGGCAAAAATTAAATTCAAAATTTAAAAAAAAAATTAATTTTGGTCAGCCGTGGGCCCCTAAACGGCCTGCCCCGCCCCCCCCCCCCCTTCCCGCGCATTGCGGGGTCTGGCGGGACTGTAGTTCCGCCCCTGTTCATCAGGTAAATGAACAACTACTGACTAGTGTCTTTAATAAAATGTGCAGAACTGGTCAGTTTACAGTTCATAGACGGTTCGTTAATCTATGCATTACATGTTATTGTAATAGTAAGAGTGTGGTGAGGGGTAGAGGTGAGGGGTTGGGGGCAGGGGGGGGAGAGAGTTGGGAAGGGAAGCGGACAAGAAAGCGCCGATAAACATCTACATCAATAGTGCCGACTTTTTCCGATCGTCTAGAACACAAGGATAGTCGCCTCGCCGCAACATTTCCCCAGCCCGATTTCAAAGCGTGCCGGCAGTCAAATTTCAGATGCTTCGTCTTTGAAGTTGTCTATATGTCTGGCGGTCTCTCGAGTTATAGTTTGTGCATTTTTCTCAAAGACGTTTGCCGACTATCGTGTTTGTTTGTAACTGTAGAAGAAAGATAACTCGACCTTCACCTATTTTTTTTTGTTAATTTTTTTAAAAATAATTTAGCCAGGATTTTTGGGCCCCCAATTGGTCTGGTCCCCCCCGCATTGCGGGGTCTGGCGGCACTGTAGTTCCGCCCCTGATTGGCTCTGAACTCAGCCTTTTAGATTTGCTTCCATAGGCTTTGTCTATCCAAGAACGATCTGCAAGGCAGTAGTTGTTTCGTTTTTTACTTTTTTACTTTTTTTCTCTTCTAGATGAGTTGTTGTCAGCAACTAATGAGCCTCATCTGTCTTATAGGGACATAGTGGTGATACAATGAGAAATATATGATGGAAGTAGAACAAGTTCTTGTAAAATATCTGATTTCATAGGTGAAGTAGAGTTTACCTGTTTCCGTGGCCTCTGTGTTTGAAGGAATAATGTAGTCAGTACAATGCCTAGCCACTTTCACTTTACCTAATGTGAGTCAGGTACCCATTACAGCTGGGTAGACTCAAGGACAACCTACGTTCACAAGCCAGGGATTTAAATCTTAATACTTTAGGGTCAGCAGTCGTGCACTACCATTCCACCACACCATTCCATATCTTGTTAAATATGGCATATAAAATTTTACCATATTTTATTGTTTTTTTTTTAATTGCTAAATAATATGTAATTTGATTGTTATACTAGGTAGATATAATTTTACCATATTTTATTGTTATTTTTATTGCTAAATAATATGTAATTTGATTGTTATACTAGGTAGATCTAATTTTACCATATTTTATTGTTTTTTTAAATGCTAAATAATATGTAATTTGATTGTTATACTAGGTAGATCTAATTTTACCATATTTTATTGTTGTTTTTTATTGCTAAATAATATGTAATTTGATTGTTCTACTAGGTAGATATAATTTTACCATATTTTATTGTTTTTTTTTATTGCTAAATAATATGTAATTTGATTGTTCAACTAGGTAGATCTAATTTTACCAATTTTGTTTTTTTTTTATTGCTAAATAATATGTAATTTGATTGTTCTACTAGGTAGATCTAATTTTACCATATTTTTTTTTATTGCTAAATAATATGTAATTTGATTGTTCTACTAGGTAGATATAATTTTACCATATTTTATTGTTTTTTTTTATTGCTAAATAATATGTAATTTGATTGTTCAACTAGGTAGATCTAATTTTACCATATTTTATTGTTTTTTTTTATTGCTAAATTATATGTAATTTGATTGTTCTACTAGGTAGATCTAATTTTACCATATTTTTTTTTTATTGCTAAATAATATGTAATTTGATTGTTCAACTAGGTAGATCTAATTTTACCATATTTTATTGTTTTTTTTTATTGCTAAATTATATGTAATTTGATTGTTCTACTAGGTAGATCTAATTTACCATATTTTTTTTTTTATTGCTAAATAATATGTAATTTGATTGTTCTACTAGGTAGATCTAATTTTACCATATTTTTTTTTTATTGCTAAATAATATGTAATTTGATTGTTCTACTAGGTAGATCTTCTTTGCCGCTATGACGCAAAGCTGAACATTGCCGATGCAAGCGGTAGGTACCCAATGCACCTAGCCTGCGAAAAAGGATTCCTGCGTTGTATCGCGACCCTCGTCCAGCACGGCGCTTCCCTGGAGGTCACGGACGCCCACGGCCAGACGCCGCTGTTTGCGGCAGTCTCAGAGAACCAGGTGACCATAGCCAAGTTCCTGATAGAGCAGGGCGCCAATGTCCTGGCTGTGGACAGCAGTGGCTACACACCTCTACACCGGGCAAGCTACAAGGTGGGAGATGTGTTGACATCCTGATTGGTTTTTCTATAAGCTTAGTGAGATACAATAATTTAAGAATTACTAGTGAGATACAATAATTTAAGAATTACTTTACATACGTTTGGTATTTGTGTTTGCTACCCTGTTATGTTATATTTTGGGTGGGTGGAGGTGTAGGGGAGGGGATGTGGTAGAATGTTAGAGCATTTGGCTGCTAGCCCGAAAGTCTTGAGTTCGGATCTGGGTTTGGACTTATGACTGTAGGACGTCCTTGAGTCCAACCAGCTCGGATGGGTACCTCACTTACATTGAGGAAAGTAAATGCGGCTGGGCATAGTGCTGACCACACCATCCCTTCATATGCCGAGGTTAAGAAACATCAACTCTACTAAATCTGCTTAATGGATTGTTTGGTCTAGTGGTACTTTAGTATGCAAAAGTTCTGTGACACCATAAGTGATTACACACATGTAGTACTCTCTAATGCCTAGTCCTACTTAATGTCCTCTCATTTGCCTGGTCCTCTCCTATGTCTAGACATATTAAATGTCCTCTCATGTGCCTGGTCCTCTAGATGTCCTCTCCTATGTCTAGTCCTACTAGATGTCCTTTCACTTGCCTGGTCCTCTAGATGTCCACTCTTATTTCGTCCTACCAAAAGTCCTCTCATTTGACTGGTCCTCTAGATGTCCTCTCCTATGTCTAGACCTACTAAATGCCCATCATTTGACTGGTCCTCTAGATGTCCTCTCCTATGTCTAGACCTACTAAATGCCCATCATTTGACTGGTCCTCACATTCTCCACTCTCATCAGGGCAACCTTGAGCTCATCGAGTACCTGGTCCACTCTGGCGCTGAGATCAATGCCAGGTCCCAGAAAACTCTGCAGACGCCGCTCATGTTTGCCGTGACCTTTGGGAAACTGGAAGCCATTAAAAAGCTCATTGAGCTAGGCGGGGACACCACGCTGCCCGATGCCAAAGGTCAAACCCCGTTACACCTGGTTCATCTAAAGATGAGTACGTTCTTAAATTTTATGGTTTTGTTTTTATGTTGATTGTAAGAATAGCGAATTGATAAAAGTATGTGCCTACGTATAGGAGAGAGTAAACATGGCAGCAGTTGTAAAATATATAGTTACTATTTTGTTTTTACGATTTCTAAATACTAAAATGCTGAAAATAAAACTTTTACAAGAATTACTTGATAATAACTAACCATTGGATGCACAAAGTAAGAAAATAATGCTTAGGTAAAATAGCAAAATGTTTTCTAGGTAGTCTAGTTCAACTAAATGGTCTAATATATCTGAAGACCTTAATTCCAAAAAAAAAATATATATATATATATGAAGCTGATTATACAGTATGTTGAGATAGTAGTCTTTTACCAATGCTTTAGGGCTGGATTTTAATGGATTTTAAGACCCCCCTTCCCCTTACCCACCCTCCATAATGATCTATAGTGTGTTTAAAATATAGATGTTTAATTTTATATGTTCTGATATTAGTATGCTGGCTTGTGTACGATAACATAGCTCTGATGATTCTATCATCTGTCTGTCAAATCATGAGAGTTACAAGACCCCTCCTCCCCCCATTCTTTATCATATAGTGTTGGGGTCCATATGTTTATGAAATCAGTATGCTGGTTTGTGTATGATAACATAGCCCATACAAGATCCCCACTCCTCCCACTCTCCATCATATAGTGTGGGGGTCCATATGTTTTCTGATATCAGTATGCTTGCTTATGTAAACTAACATAGCTCTAATTGTTCTATCCTCTCTCTGTCAATGTGGGACGGAGTGGTCTAGCGGTAGAGAGCTGGACTGCTAACCCGTAAATCTCGAGTTCCAATCCGGGTTCAAGTCAGTAGACCGTCCCTGAGTCCACCCAACTCTGATGGGTACCTAACTCACGTTAGGGAAAGTAAAGGCGGCTGAGCATAGTGCTGGCCACACTATCTCTTCATATGCCAAGGTCACAGAAACAGGTGAACTCTACTTCACTTGCCCTATAGACTGTCAGGTTTGAAAGGTAAACTTTACTTTTACTCTCTGTCAATTCTAACTGAAATTTTTTTTTCCCCTGACAGCCGGGGAACCTGTGGACAAAATTGTGAGAGCCCTTCTTGAGGGCGGAGGTCGTCTTGACCAGCGGGACGACGGGAACTTCACCCCCTTGCAGAGGTGCCTGATATCTGGGGTCATCAGGAGGAACCACTCCCTGCCCTGTATACAGCTGCTGTGTCAGGCTGGTTCCTATCTGGGGCCAGACCAGTACACTATGGGAAAGTAAGTCAGTACACTATGGGAAAGTAAGTCAGTACACTATGGGAAATTAAGTACACTATGGGAAAGTAAGTCAGTACACTATGGGAAAGTAAGTCAGTACACTATGGGAAAGTAAATCAGTACACTGTTGGAAAGTAAGTCAGTACACTGGGAAAGTAAATCAGTACACTGGGAAAGTAAGTCAGTACACTATGGGAAAGTAAGTCAGTACACTATGGGAAAGTAAGTCAGTACACTATGGGAAAGTAAGTCAGTACACTATGGGAAAGTAAGTCAGTAGGCCTACACTATGGGAAAGTAAGTCAGTGCACTATGGGAAAGTAAGTCAGTAGGCCTACACTATGGGAAAGTAAGTCAGTACACTATGGGAAAGTAAGTCAGTACACTATGGGAAAGTAAGTCAGTACACTATGGGAAAGTAAGTCAGTACACTGTGGGAAAGTAAGTCAGTACACTATGGGAAAGTAAGTCAGTATACTATGGGAAAGTAAGTCAGTACAGTATGGGAAAGTAAGTCAGTACACTATGGGAAAGTAAGTCAGTACACTATGGGAAAGTAAGTCAGTACACTGTGGGAAAGTCAGTACACTATGGGAAAGTAAGTCAGTACAGTATGGGAAAGTAAGTCAGTACACTATGGGAAAGTAAGTCAGTACACTGTGGGAAAGTAAGCCAGTACACTGTGGGAAAGTCAGTACACTATGGGAAAGTAAGTCAGTACACTATGGGAAAGTAAGTCAGTACACTATGGGAAAGTAAGTCAGTACACTATGGGAAAGTAAGTCAGTACACTATGGGAAAGTAAGTCAGTACACTATAGGAAAGTAAGCCAGTACACTATGGGAAAGTAAGTCAGTACACTGTGGGAAAGTAAGCCAGTACACTGTGGGAAAGTCAGTACACTATGGGAAAGTAAGTCAGTACACTATGGGAAAGTAAGTCAGTACACTATGGGAAAGTAAGTCAGTACACTATGGGAAAGTAAGTCAGTACACTATGGGAAAGTAAGTCAGTACACTATGGGAAAGTAAGTCAGTACACTATGGGAAAGTAAGTCAGTACACTATGGGAAAGTAAGTCAGTACACTATGGGAAAGTAAGTCAGTACACTATGGGAAAGTAAGTCAGTACACTATGGGAAAGTAAGTCAGTACACTATGGGAAAGTAAGTCAGTACACTATGGGAAAGTAAGTCAGTACACTATGGGAAAGTAAGTCCGTACACTATGGGAAAGTAAGTCAGTACACTATGGGAAAGTAAGTCAGTACACTATGGGAAAGTAAGTCAGTACACTATGGGAAAGTAAGTCAGTACACTGGGAAAGTAAATCAGTACACTATGGGAAAGTAAGTCAGTACACTATGGAAAAGTAAGTCAGTACACTATGGGAAAGTAAGTCAGTACACTATGGGAAAGTAAGTCAGTACACTATGGGAAAGTAAGTCAGTACACTATGGGAAAGTAAGTCAGTACACTATGGGAAAGTAAGCCAGTACACTATGGGAAAGTAAGTCAGTACATTGTAGGAAAGTAAGTCAGTACACTATGGGAAAGTAATTCACCCCCCACCCCCCCCTCCTCCGCTTGTCCCCTTTGAATTTAACCTGGAGCCAGACTTGGAGGCATTAAGTTTTGTTGAGTGATGTATTGGCAATGTCAATGGGAAAGTAAATCACACTCCCTGCTCCTGCCCTTTAGTATTCACACATTATAAGTCTTGTTTTGAATTAATTTTATCCATTTAACCATTTTTGTTGTATAAACTTTTGGAACCCAATGGAACATTTGGTATATTATTTGAAGTAAAATACAAAAGATTCCTCTTTAGACCTAGCAAATCAACTTATTACTGGTTTTTTCAAAACATGCTGTTATTTATAAACATTTAACTTTTTTTTTTTGCAAGGAATCCACTAATATTTTATTAACCTCATTTCCCCATAATTTTTTTTGCATATTCCTTTTTTTTTTATTTTTACAAAGATTTGCAGATTGTTTAGTTTAGCTTCTTTTTTGTCTTATTTATCTTCCCTCTCATTTTGTTATTAAATTTAATTAAATTTTTACATATTTATCTCTCCTCACATTTTGTTATTAAATTTTATTAAATTTTTACATATTCATCTCCTCTCTCATTTTGTTATACATTTTATTAAATTTTTACATATTCATCTCCTCTCTCATTTTGTTATAAATTTTTATTAAATTTTTACATATTCATCTCCCATCACATTTTGTTATTAAATTTTTATAAGTTTTTACATATTCATCTCCTCTCTCATTTTGTTATTGAATTTTATTAAATTTTTACATATTTATCTCCCCTCTCATTTTGTTATTAAATTGTATTAAATTTTTACATATTTATCTCCCCTCACATTTTGTCATTACATTTTTACATATTTATCTCCCCTCTCGTTTTGTTATTAAATTTTATTAAATTTTTACATATTTATCTCCCCTCACATTTTGTTATTAAATTTTATTAAATTTTTCCATATTTATCTCCCCTCACATTTTCTTACCTTTAATCCCAGGAAGTCCCCTTTGTTTTGGCTGGCCTATTCTGGTTTCCTGCAAGAGGCCATGTACCTGGTGAAGGCAGGCTGGGACTTGAGGGATGAGACCTGGATCATTTTACCTGGGAAAGATCACCTCCAGGACAAACTCCATGAGTTTATGATCATCACATATAGGACAGTGCCCTCCTTGTTGGCCTGTACTAGAAAGGTGAGGGTTCAAGTCATTAGAACGTACCTGAGTCCACCCAACTCTGATGGGTACCTAGCTCATGTTTGGGAAAGTAAAGCTGGCTGGGCATAGTGATGACCACAGTATCTCTTCATATGCAGAGATCACAGAAACAGTTGCACTCTGCTTCACTTGCCCCATGGAACTTTACTTTTTACTTTAATGACATCATTAGGCAAGAGGGTGGGGGGGAGGGGTCAGACCCAAATGGGGGACACTATACAAAGGGGTGACACCAAAATGAAATATAACTTATTTAAAAGATGTCTGCTTTTCCAGTTAGTTTCATAAAGTTTTAAACTTCTTAAAGTTTTATGTATCTTAAGGCACTGGGTGGCATTATCTACAATGGAAAAGTCACCAAATTTTTCTATAGATTTAGTACATCAGATATGGTAGCTGGGTTGGGGGGGGGTGTCATCCTGGGGTACCCCACCAAGTTGGACGCCACTGACACAGATATCATATTAATTTACAGAGGTGTTCACACATATCTAATTTCATTTCACTGTTTCACACATGTATCTAATTAATTTATAGTGTTTTTCAGCATCCATCACTTTGATCTAGGTGGTTTTTTCCTCACATAAATCACATTAATTTTTAGTGTTTTTCCCACACATATTTCACATTAATTTACATGGGCTGTTCACACAGATATTACATGTGCAACATCTGGCTGTTCTCATCTTACCTCCCAAGCTTGAACTTCCAATGTGCAATCATCCAATGGTCTATTAGACTATATGAGCCGACCCGCGGCGTATAACACGCTGCTATTTAGTTTTATTTTCTACTTTTCAGTAATTCATAATTTGTGAATTCGACAGTACCAATGTCTGAAAATATTTGCTTTAAAACACTAAACCCCCCCCCCCCCCCAGTGAAAGCATCCTCTTAGTTACCTCCCCAAACTTTAAAATAGTTTCAAACTAAATTATCTGCCCCTAATAGGCGTCACTAAACCCGGCTCTACGATTATAAACATTTAATGTGAACCACAGCTCACCAGACCATGTGGGTGTGGGGGGGGGGGGGGGGGGTTGCGTTATGCCTAGAGAGGTAGAGACAGGACTGCTAGGTGCGCTTACAACGTTTTCTAACGTCTCCAAGAAGAGAATTATATATATAGATGGAGCCATTTATTAAATTAATTTATAGTTTTTTCCACACTTGACTGACTTGACTTATTTATTGTTGTCCGGGGGGAGCAAAAGACTGCAATCACACCTCTCCACGGGACTCTATTTTGGGCAGCTCTCCTTATCCGCACCCACGTGAGCCCAGCTGCCTTAGCTTCTTCTTATACAGTTCTTCTCCATGATTAATTTACAGGTGTTTTCCAAATGTATATCATATTGATGTACATGGGTTTATATCAGGTAGTCGTGTGTTTACCTGTGGACAATTTTCTCTCTTGCCAGGGGTTGCGCGCCCACCTGTTTGAGGTAAACCAACACAGAGAAATCCTCAGCGTCATAGATTGTCTGCCCCTGCCCAGTCCTCTCAAGTCCTACCTCAAGCTACAAGATGTGGACCCTTATGACCTGGAGGCTTTAAGCTTTGTTGAGTGATGTTTTAGCAATGTCAATGAGCTTTGTTGAGTGATGTGAATCTATAGCCTTTGTTGAGTGATGTATTAGCAATGTCCTCAAGCTTTGTTGAGTGATGTATTAGCGATATCTTTAAGCTTTGTTGAGTGATGTGAACCCACATGATCTGGAGGCTTTAAGCTTTGTTGAGTGATGTATTAGCAATATCATTGAGCTCTGTTGAGTGATGTATTAGCAATATCATTGAGCTCTGTTGAGTGATGTATTAGCAATGTCTTTGAGCTCTGTTGAGTGATTTATTAGCAATGTCTTTGAGCTTTGTTGAGTGATGTGGACCTAGAGGATTTGTTGAGTGATGTATAAGAAATGTCTTTAAACTTTGTTGAGTGATGTGGACCCATATGATCTGGAGGCTTTAAGTTTTGTTGAGTGATGTATTAGCAATGTCTTTGAGCTTTGTTGAGTGATGTATTAGCAATGTCTTTGAGCTTTGTTGAGTGATGTATTAGCAATGTCCTTAAGCTTTGTTGAGTGATGTATTAGCAATGTCCTCAAGCTTTGGTATGTAAATTCTTACCGCAAGTCAAAAAGCTTTAGTGAGTTCTGTTGTACTTCAAGGTGTAATGGCCAGTGCAGATTTCCAGATGTTAAGCCAATATGTAATCTGATATTTCATTCTATATCATCGGAAGTGTATATTTACTTGTATATAGTGTACATTAGGACCAACTTTACTGACCAGTTGACCTGTGAATTTTGTACAAAATGTTGTGGTCCACTAATTGGCATTTATGTATTTATTTCTTTATTCTGTTAACATTTGTCTTTCTTCAGTATTACTTTTTTAAAAGTACCTTGAAAAGGTAAACTTTAATTGTAAACAATTTGTAATGAGTTTACTAAGTTCCATATTTTCTGTAAAATTAACTTCTTCATTCTTAAGTTTAGTTTTTGAAGGTATCCCCCTCCGACACAATCAAGGATACGTGTCAACTGGTTATGCGCCATTGAGGCCATTGACTCCGATTTCAGCCTGCTTTTCTTTTTGGATTTGCTTCCATAGCCTTTGTCCAACCAAGAACAAACTACAAGGCAGCTGTTGTTTGATTTTGGAGTTGTCTCTCCTAGAAGAGTGGCTGTCCCCAGCTAACGAGCCTCATCTGCCCGATGGTTCGAACTCGAGACTTTTCGGTTTAGCAACTATGAGCTTTACTGACTCGACCATGCCGACCCCGTAAAATTAACTAACTTCCCAGTTTTTTGGAGGAGGGGAATTATCACACATAGCACTTAATTCATTTTTATTTTGAAAAACCATCTCTCCACATTCCCTAATTATAAAATCTAATTAGAAAATAGTTAAAATGAAATTTTCCTTTGCAAATGATATGTATATTTATTTGTATACCCTCTGGTACAAGAACTGCAGTGGTTGTTATGGTGTTGATGAGATGATATTACCTCTATTGATTGCCAGAGACCCTTGCTCAGCTACAACCTTCCCAGCATTCTGTTCTCTTTGTGCAGCCTAGACAACTGCAGTGTTTCATTCAGAGGGGAGGGAGCAATGTTCCCTCTAAGGGGAAAAAGATCGTGTGCAATGTATATTTTGTGTGCGCGGTGTTGTAAAAGTCTTATACAAGGATATATGTATTGTACAAAATCACTGCGCGGCAGTTAAAATCTACTGCGCAACCGCGCAGCTTAGAGGGAGCATAGGGAGGGAGGGTGTACACTGGTTAAAGTATATATTTTCTATTTCACAACCCCGTCCAGAGAAGTCTGTAAGAATTTATGGACACGAGTCTGAATTAATTTATAGAATTCTCACAATAATTATATTGTAAGGGCATTCGTAATTTTAATCCCATAATACTTAAACTTTTCTTTTTCAATGGAAATAACGCCAACATTTAAAAATATATTTCTAGTTTGTCTCATGCTGTGGTTCGCAACCTATGGAGCAACTTCATTTTTGTTTCTGTGGTTTTAGGGATTAATTTTAAAACTTGATAAAAATGTACTTTAGTTTACTATAATTTTTGCTATAATTTAATTTATGAAAAATAATGTTCAACTTTCTTGTTTTAGATTATACAACTTAGTAGTAATTGCTCATTTACCAAAAACTGCCAGGAATTGCTACAAAACTAAGTTGCTAGCGTATAGATTAGTGTAAATTTCATTCATATAGGTTAGATTGGTAAGCAGACTTGGTTTGTTTTATGTTAGAAATATGTGATGCACACAGTCTGTTTTTGTAGACATACAATTGTGACTCAATATTCTTTGAAGTTTGATTGCTGGCTTAACTGCAAGAGCAAAAAAAATGGCAAAAATGTATAATTTTAATCTATAAGCTAGTTCCATAGTGGTACTTTGTGTTGGTTACATGATAAAAAATTACTGCTGCTGTTTGTTGTGTGAGTTGTGAAACCAAAATGTAAACATTTCAGCATTACTGTCAGGGTACTTCACCAAATCAAGTTAGATAACCTTGAAATTTTTTGGGAAAAATATTTATTCAGTTACCTCCCATTTATTTTGGCGTAGAAAATGTAAAATTCTTTTAGTTTTAGGACTGTAAAATTGAATATGAATTGATTGATTACACAAGAAGGACATTTATTATTCTAATAGTTAAAATATTTTGAAAATTTGGTGTTAAATAACATCCATTTTGGGTTAAAATATATTAATGTTACCAATTTAATGTAAAATTAACTTCACTTTAGACCATAACCACTCTTGCTTTTTATACTTTTGACCACGATTCCCAATGTCAATTATTGACCAACTTTATATATATTTATATATTTATGTATATATCGGACCGGTGTTTTTGTGTATAAATTTACCAGACAAATGTATTTGTAAACAATTTATGTGCAACTATTTAACTGTTTATACTATTTTCTAACATCTTTACAGTGACCCTGCAAAAATAAACATGCATGTTAACTGCTGATATATTTGTTTAATCTTTGACAAAATTGTTATCAAATCCATGCAGTGATGTGTGACCTACTCTTCAAACATAATTATTACTATAACCATTTTGCTATTACATATGTCACATATAGGTAGTTTGGAGTTAGGATTGGGCATATTTAGTTGACAAATTCTTTTTTTAGTTTCGCATAGATGCTTTGGGCTTAAATCAAGTACAATTTTTTTTTTTTTAAATTGTTTCTTTTTTGGTGTAATGTGTAAATTGTATTAATTAGTTATTTAGTTAACAAATTCTTTTTTAGTTTCGCATAGGTGCTTTGGGCTTAAATCAAGTACAAATATTTTTTTAAAAAAATGTTTCCCTTTTGGTGTAATATGAGAATTGTATTAATTATTTATTAACTTATAAAATAAAAATAACTTTGGTGACTGTGAAATGACAGAGAATATTTTAAAAACATTATTGCTGTTTGGGTTAGGTATTTTTTCTTTAAATTGTTGTTTACAAAATGTATCATTCCTAGTTATACATTCATTAGTGTATATACATGTTGTGTGTGTAAATATTTATTACTTGATGCAATCTCAGTTTATATTGATTGATATTATGAAATATCGTTGTGTTAAATGTTTTACATGCTACTAACAATGGAGAAATAATTATTTATGATCTAATTTAAGCCATTGCTATCTTTCTTGTTAAACATCATTTGATCTTGTGTTAGGTAGGGTGTATCCAGGCATTTTTAAACCTTATCTAAAGTAATGGCTATTTAAAAGATAAAAAGGCTAACAATTATTTATAGTTACATATCTTAGTTTTTGGATGGTCAATACAGTAATTTTTTGAACTCAAAATTGTATTATTTGTTATTTTGTTTAATCTGCTTCTTCTTTGTTCTTAATGCTAGTGTTGGAAGTGATTCCCTCCAGCACAATTAAGTCTACGTGTCAACTTGTTATGCGCCATATAAGCCGTTGACTCCGATTTCAGTCTGCTATTATTTTTTGGATTTGCTTCCATAGCCTTTGTCCAACCAAGAACAAACTACAAGGCAGTTGTTTTTTGATTTTGGAGTTGTCTCTGTACCCAGCTATCGACCCTCATCTGCCCGGGGGTTGGAACTCCGGACTTTTCAGTTTAGCAGTTCCTAGAATGGGAAGAAGTGGCTTAGCCTTAGATAGCTAGACGGCTAGCCCGTATGTCTCGAGTTCGAATCCGGGTTCACGTCAGTAGACCGTCCTAGAGTGCACCCAGCTCTGATGGGTACCTAACTCACGCTAGGGAAAGTAAAGGCGGCTGGACAAATGAAGTAGAGTTCACCTGTTTCTGTGACCTCGCACATGAAGGGAAATAGTGGTCAGCACTTTGCCCAGGCGTCTTAACTTTTCCTAACACTCCCCTCCATCACACATCGCCACAAAGTCCACATTCCCCCTATATGACGTCACACCTCAGCATAGAAACCCACCCCCCCCCCCTTCAAAATTGCAGTTAGATTTTTTTTTTTAAATATCGACTTGTTTCTAAAATATTGACGCTTCTCAGTCATCATTTTAATCAACTTCAGTTTTCTAAATCGCGAAATAACGGCTAAAAATTATAATTACTTTTTAAATGCAAAAGTGTGATGTCACCCTATATGAACACCCCCTCCCCCTCATCGCACATCGTCGCAAAATTACTGACCCACCTTCCCCGCCCCACAACCCCTAGAGTGCAGAGTGCAACGTCCTTTATGGACGACCCCTTCACAGGATAAAAAATATATACCAACAGTCTGTCAAATACACGGGGTCACGCGAGTGTACAGACTAGAAGCAGACGATTAGACATGCAAATCAGTCGCGCAGACGACAAGCCTGCGACTGATAAAAGCGCCCCCTGTCCGTAACAGCTGCTGTATTCTACGTAACAAGATCGCACTCCGTGACCTATTGTGCACTAAATTTCCAATATGCAATTGTAAATTCAAACACGACACTTATCTTTTATTACATGTTTTCAAAAATAAAAATACAGTTTATGAAGTGTATTACTAGTATGTCCCAGCTCTATGTTAGTATTGTACTTACATTATTACTGGTAATAATGTAATTAAAATTGTATATTCCATGCGATTAACTCCCTTACATGATTGTAGTTTTTATTTATTTCTGATGTGATTGAATTATTAAATATACATCTTACCCCATTAGCTCCTATCGATGGGATTTTATCAAGTTCATTTTTTTTAAAACATTGTACTTTGACACTTTGCTAAAAGTTGTAATATTGGAAAAGTTCATTTCATATAAATTTTCTAAAATTAATTTACAAAAAAATGGCATTTAAGTTATAAGTTTAAAAATGAACAAACTTTTAATAACTAATGTAATTAGTCCTCAATAAGTGTTTCAACCTTAGATTTAAAATTTAAAAACGTACAGATTATCAGGGCTGCCTACTTGTACGGTTTTGCCCGTAACTTTACGATTTTGACACCCAGGTTACGGAATTACGATTATGCTGCAAAATTACGGTTTTGATTTCAGTAGAGATCAAAATCGACTTTAGTGTAAAAAAAATAATTTCTGGTGGTAACTTAACTTTATGTTCCCGGTCTGAGTTATATATTTTAATTTAGCTAGTTATATTTCAGTATTTCAGTGTGTTATCCGGTTCTAAGGTTCTCAGCCTCTTCCGTAACAATCCCCCCTCCCCCTCTTGTCATGGCTGGCGGCAGTCGTGTTTATATTGTGAACTATTGACCCCGCGAGTCGGTGTTGTCCGTAGAGAAAAAAAAAGGGCGTGGCCTAAATCATTGAAAGTCTCATCGCGCAGTCTGGCGAGACATATTTGCTGAGGCGGTATTACGGCTAAATGCCTAAATAGCGAGATATCGAGGCATTTTGTTTGAGATGTGCGAGAAGACAAGATATTACTAAACATCGAGATCTAGGCTCACCTAGATCAATTACGGATCATATTTTTAAAATTGTTCTTTTCTTCTAGATATTACATTGATAAAATGTAGATTTTAAAAAAAATATTCAAGAAATATGCTAATTCTAAACATCGTCACCCGTCGGCCGCTTACGTTTTCTTGTTCGCGGGAGAAAAAATCCTGACACACACACAGTCGAGGGGTCACTGAGTTCACATTGGTTTAGATATCCGTAGTGTTGGCCTATAACATACGTCATACTACTCATTGCAAGAACAATTCCTATTTGAAATTTTCCATTGTCGCCTTACATTCTGAATTTAACGGCGTTTTTTTTAAAAAACTAATTATTAGTCCATAAAATAAAAAGTAGCACGAGTCGCCGACTGTCATCAATACGCTGATGA